ATATTACTTTACATTTATGGAAATTAAATTTAATTTGCATTTGTGCTGCCCTTGAATCCACTGGAATTTTTTCAATCATCAGTGGCACTTACCAACCCACGAAATTTCACCAACAAACGCTAACAATATGTTACTCACTTTGCCCTCGAAATAATTAATATATTAAAATGCAAAGGTCACAATACAAATTCTTAAAAGCTCTCACTCTTCACTGATATGCAGCCAACCATCGAAATGTTCCCTATTATTACTGTTTATTATTTATATTACAGTAGTGTCTGAATGCCCCAAATGAGGCATTTTGTACAAAAACATAAGTGACAGCCCCTGCCCCAAAGGGCTTAAGGTCTGAATATTTTACAATCTTATGGTGTAAATCTGAATATCGCATAACCAGTTTTCATCTATTTACGTCTTACCTTGTGCTTATTTTTCTTAATCTTTCACACGGGACCTTATCATAAACTTTTTAAAAAAACAGATACATTTTTTTTCACCTTCCTCTAAGCAACTGGCAGAAGATGAAAGATTCTGGACAAGTGGGGAATGTCTAGTGGATACATTAGGGAATGGTATAGAAAATGGTCATCTTTAATGTACAGTGTATGTATAGTGTTTAATGTACAGTAGTGTTTAATGTACAATCTAATGTATAGTGTTTGGTAAGGACATATTAATTAAAGTCACTTATACTAAATTTGGCAGTGTAGCAAATACCAGTGAAGACAGAGAAATAATACAAAGGGACCCAAAGAGAACAGAAATAGGGGAAGGTAATAAAATCAGAGAAATGCAAACTAATACATCTTACAAAAAGTAATCAAACAAAAACTAACTGGGCAGGAGAAACCTAGAATATAGGAAGGCTGAAAGAGCCAGGTGGACAGCAAATTAAACAGGAGTTTGTCATTTTGTGATGCATACACAAAGGCATCACATCATGGAGCAAGGCAGACATAGTCTCTCTTCTATGCAGAGCTGTGCTGTGTATTCTTTCTAGAATACTCTTTTCAGTTCTGGTCATGCCAATATTTAAAAAAATTGAGAAAAACTGGAAAGTGTTCAGAGAAGAGCAACTATGAGGAGGAAAGAAAAAGGTGGTAATTGGCTAGAGAGTTAGTTAATAGACATGAACTGACTACAGCTAAGGGCTAAATCTAGGCCCTAACTACTCAACAAATGCTTTGCAATTATAGCTATATACTGGCACAGCCCCCAACATAGACATCACTTATGCCAAGAGGAGATTTTTCACTCAGCATAGTAACACCACCTCCCTGAGTGACATTAGTTATGCCAAGCATAGGTGCTGACTTTTATTTTTCCTGGTGGGTGCTCCACTCTCACTCCGCCTCTTCCTGCCCCCACTCCATGCTCTTCCCTGAGGCCCTATGCCAGCTGCTGAATAGCAGCCCAGCTGAACAGCTGTGACTGGTGGGTGTTGACCACTCCCACTATTTTTTTCCATGGATGCTTGAGCGCTGCAGCACCCACAGAGTTGGTCCTATGCTTGATTCTCTCCTCACTTGTAGCAGTGTAATGCAGGAGCAACCCCAATGAAATCAGTGGCGTTACACTGATATAAAATCAATGAAACACAGGTGGATCACCAGCCTGGGAAGCAGTCTGATGAGTGGCACTATGGTTCACCAGCAGATATAAACCCAATCTGACTAGCCAGAGAAGGCACGTCAGGCAGTGCCAGCAGGAATTTGAAACACACTTCTTGAATTGAAGAGAGTAATAAGCAGGGGTGAATCTAGCCGGCACAACTATACTGTAGTGTAAATAAGACCTGCATTAACCATGTTTTGGGGCAGTTAATTTCCCTTTTTTCTTGAGGAAGAAGTGTTAGTGAGGGTGCATGATTGGAGGGCCCCTATGAGAGGGGAATGATCTGTCACTTTAGATACCAGCTCTGCCCTCCTCCTGGCCCCACCATGCTCCCTGTAGGGCTGGAAGAGCCATGGGAAGAAAGGAAGATGGTAACCAATGGGCTGTGAGGAGCACCTCTACCAGTTGGAGGCAGCAAGATGAATAGGGAACCCAGACTTTGTATCCACTTCAGGGAGCTAGTGCAAAGGAAGGGGCTCTGCAGTACAGGAGAACTGTTGATGTGTGGAATGGCCCATTCACCTCAGTCGGGTGTGCTCAGATGAATTAGGATGCTCCAAAGAGATGAATAGTCTAATACAATAGCTCTGGGTGGTGTGAAATGACCCACTCATCTCAATGGGAGTTCCCCTCTACTTCAGTTTCAGTTGTGGAATACCTTTGTTCAAGGTAATCTCACTATGCATGTCCGTTTTAGAGCAACTGGGATATTAAATGGCAGGTTTCAGAGTAGCAGCCATGTTAGTCTGTATTTGCAAAAAGAAAAGGAGTACTTGTGGCACCTTAGAGACTAACAAATTTATTTGAGCATAAGCTTTCGTGAGCTACAGCTCACTTCATCGGATGCATTCGATTTTCCACTGAATACATCCAATGAAGTGAGCTGTAGCTCACGAAAGCTTATGCTCAAATAAATTTGTTAGTCTCTAAGGTGCCACAAGTACTCCTTTTCTTTCATTTTTAAAGGTGATCTGTAAAGGGGCAATAACTGAGATTGTGCCTTTGTTTGATTTTCTTCTGATGTGTTGTTTTGGAGAGGGACGAGACATTTATATTGCCTCCTTTTACATTAAAAATCCAGGTCCTGCCTAGCCTGGGGGATTTACGCTTTGTCTTTGTCTAGACTAGAGTTGATGGTCCTGTTATAATTTCAGCTAATAGATTGTAAATGCTAACTGTGTTGATAACTGAAGTTCTCCACAAATGTTTGTTCTGGGGCACAAAGTTTTGTGGTTTGCCTGAGGCTGAGCCAACATGTCCTGATACTTTGCAAGTCTAGATTAGCATTTACAGTCACTTAACAAGGAATTGGCAATCAATTACAACAAGAGGACAAATGTCAGTCCAGACAAAAAGAAAAGGAGTACTTGTGGCACCTTAGAGACTAACCAATTTATTTGAGCATGAGCTTTCGTGAGCTACAGCTCACTTCATCAGATGTTTACCGTGGAAACTGCAGCAGACTTTATATACACACAGAGAATATGAAACAATACCTCCTCCCACCCCACTGTCCTGCTGGTAATAGCTTATCTAAAGCTAATAGCTTATCTAAAGTGATCAACAGGTGGGCCATTCTTGTTTTTTCCTACCCCCCCCCCCCAGATGTTCTGGTTTAACTTGGATTTAAACTTGGAGAGTGGTCAGTTTAGATGAGCTATTACCAGCAGGAGAGTGAGTTTGTGTGTGTATGGGGGTGGGGGGGATGTGAGAAAACCTTGATCTATGCAGGAAATAGCCCTACTTGATTATGTAAAGAGTTGTCACTTTGGATGGGCTAGCACCAGCAGGAGAGTGAATTTGTGTGGGGGGTGGAGGGTGAGAAAACCTGGATTTGTGCTGGAAATGGCCCACCTGTTGATCACTTTAGATAAGCTATTACCAGCAGGACAGTGGGGTGGGAGGAGGTATTGTTTCATATTCTCTGTGTGTATATAAAGTCTGCTGCAGTTTCCACGGTAAACATCTGATGAAGTGAGCTGTAGCTCACGAAAGCTCATGCTCAAATAAATTGGTTAGTCTCTAAGGTGCCACAAGTACTCCTTTTCTTTTTGCGAATACAGACTAACACGGCTGTTCCTCTGAGTCCAGACAAAGCCTATGATAACAGGAGAACTAGTGAAATGATAACATCATTCACAAGACTCACGAGACAAAAAATTGAGCAAAGGAAAGGGGAAGGGATTTTAAATCACATTTTGCAAAACTCTGTTTTGTCTGATTTTGTCAACACCTATTTAACTTCAGTGCCAAATGAGTATTTTGGATAAAGGATGCATGGGTGCAAGGGAGAGATGAGAGAGATAAATTTGCTCCCAGATTTTTACTATTGTGGGGGGCCAGGACAGTCATCCCCCACTTCCTCCCCTAATTGGCACCCTGAGGACAGACACTTCCCCACCTACGCAGAGCAGCTTGGCACTGGCAGAAATGCAGGAAGGGAGTGGCAGTGACTCTGCATGTCCCTCCACCACCAAACTGTGCCCATGGTGGACTCCCCTCCCCCTCTCCTGACACTGCAGCATGCCCGCCCCCCTCCAGCTAGGCTCCTGTTGCCTGAAACAGGACTCATCTAGTGCTGCCTGCAGTTGGAGCCCTTGCCCAGGAGATATAGGTAGGAGGCGGGGTGACCAAGGTGAGCAGGGTCTCACCGCTGCTGATCAGGCTGGGCTTCTGCAGAGCAGAGGGAACCCTGCACTCCTCCCCTCGCCCAACACTAACCCTGGCTGGAGCAGCTTCCTGAGGCTGCTGGAGGAGGGGCTGCACCCCCCCACCCAGGGCTGAAGCAGGACTGGGTCAGCCTTTGCTACAGCAAGCCCAGGGGCTACAAAAGTTGAACAGCTCATAGGTGATTAACACAGCCATCTATTAGCTGATCGGTGGGGACCGGGCTGCTCAGGAACTACTGATCCCTGGCTGGGGCTGCAGCTCTATAGCTGGTGGGTGCTAAGCACCCGCTAATTTTTTTCCCCTGGAGCAGCCATGGAGTCCAGCACCGATGATGCCGAGAGAAGCACTATTCTGTCTCCATAGCTGTGTCTACACTAGGGGATTTGCCAGCATAGCAATGTTACCAAGAGTGGTTTTTTCCCCACACCCCTGACTTACAAAGCAATGCCAGCAAAACTTTATAGGGCAGCCAGTGATGGATAAGAGCTGCAGGGAAAGCAGGGGATAGACTTGAATCACCAAAAGGGGATGCAACAGTCATATGCCAATCTCAATCACGTTTGTATACCTGTACCTGTCCTCTCATTATTTGGTTATCTGTCATCTATTTAGGCTGTAAACTCTTTGGGACTGGGAACAGTCTATAATTAGGCAGCTAAAGCATCAAGCATGCTTTTGAGACACTATATAATTAGTAATAGAAGTGAGTCAATAAGTTACCAAAAATATTTTAATTGCACCCTCAAGCTGTACACACACCTTGAATGGATAATCGCAGGATCATTTTCCTGTAACCTTCATCCTTCCTTGGACATCCCATCCCTATTGTTTGTCACTTCCACTCATTGTACCATATTTAAAATTTACATAAAAATCTTCATGGTAGACATTTTTATTTGTTTGATAAATTGCCCAGCAGAGTTTTGGGTATGGACAAATTGAAAAATCAATAAGGTAAGTAATAAGCTTGAATGAGGGAGAATTATATATGGAAACCAAAGGGTATAAACACAAATAATGAAAAGTTTAAAAAAAAAATCAATCTGAACATGAGGAACAGTCTCAGAGTAAACTCTACAGGATTGCAGAATAAACTAGAAAAGATGATGGCAGAAGAATCTACCAAAATGAAGTTGTGGAACTCCCATTGCTTGAGACATTTAAACTCGACAGTACAAAGCGCTAGACAGAAAAAAAAAATAATGCAAAAAGTAAACCTGCCCAGGGGGGAAGGACTAAATGTTCAAATGTGTTTTCCATTTCTATGAATTATGGAGAAAGCAAGATTAGAAACTGTTAATACAGATTTTTAACTAGCACTAACTCCCAGTGTTTAGAGTACAAATGTAATTTTATTAACATAGGAAATTATGTTTCTCTCCATTGGAGACTAATTTCCTTTCAATAAAAGGTATAGCACGGGAAGAGTAACAGCAAACACAGTGCAGGTTAGTGCAGTGCTAAAGATTGAACTTCTTTTGATTTGTGTTTCCAGTCGCCGCTCTGCATCACACAATTCTAGAATCACATCCTGCATGGCTAAGGCCTGACCCTTTACCTCAGCTGAAGAGCCAAGCATCATTCTTTCCACAGGTCTAGAATGAACTGCATGTTTAACATTTTGTACCTCAGCAGTCATTTGTCCTAAACTTTTTTCCAGGGTGCTAAGCTGCTGTTGTAAACTCCCCATGCAGGAACTGACTTGTTTAGAGTAGTTTAGATGTTCTTTCAAAGAAACTAAAAGAGGGTCTGTTTTTAATGATGCAGTCGTGCCTTCTTTAGCTAAGGAAACATCCTCTTTCATTTCCTGTGATGTCCCAGCCCCAGCTTCCAACATGTTCCTCAGGGTCACAATGAGGTCACTGAGATCCTTCTGTTGTATGTAGTGGTTTGACGCCTGTTCTTTGATAGCCTCCTGTAAGCTTATCGGTCCCTTCTGTGCTTCAAGAACTAAGGCTTTTAATTCTTGCAGCCTTACTCGGTTAATATAGGTGGAACCAAGGACACCGATAATAGCTCCCAGTACAGAACCAATAATGGACCAGTTCTTTGTTTTTTCTGCTCTTGTTCTCTCTTTTTCATGGCTTTCCCTCACAGCTGCAGAGAAGAGAGAGAACTTTTCCCGCTCAGATTCCTCTGCACTTACATAGGCAGTTCGGTACCTCTTCTCCTCCTGCAAAAAAACATGACATATTGAATAAGATGTGATGTGTAATTATAAAATCACATTGAAGTCTACATCTACAAATTAAATACTTGGTTTGGGGTATACATACCTTTTTCTCTATGCACGGAACCATAGTGGAATTTAATATACCTCAGCTGTGTCCCGGAATCATTTCTATCTCAGAAATGTCTTATTTTAGTGTCAGATTTCCTTAGTCAAATCTAGTTATCACAATCTAAGATGTAATTTCCAGTGAAAATTAAAGACTAAAAATGATGATCAAGAATTACACTTTAAGCTTTGCTGTGCAGAGATTTGTCACATATAGGTCTGTCCTTGGTATCTTCCTCTTCTCCCTTTACAATCTGCCTGTGAGTCATCTTATGTGCTCCCATTACTTTAAATTACCATCTTTACACCAATGACTCACAAATCTACCTTTCCACTCTTGATGTCTGTCTCCATTCATCCATGCATCTCAGTCTGTTCCTCTGATGACACCTCCTGGATGTCTCAAGCAATCTGAAAATAATGCAGCCAAACCCACACTGCATTTTCCTCCAAAGTTCTCTCTACTTACCTTCATTCTGTCAACACTGACACCATCATCTTTTCCTGTCAAATATAGCGGACCCTGTGTGGGGGATTTGGGATCCATGCACGGTACCTCGTTAACACAGGGACCACATTATAGCGGGGACCATGTTAAAATGAATTGCAATTAAAGTAATTAAATTTGGGATCCATGGCCGTGACTGTGTTATATGTGAATTCGTGCTATATAGAGGTGCGTTCTAGCGAGGGTCCGGTGTAGTACCATAACCTGAGAGTCCTCTTCCAGTTCTTCATCTCTCACCCAAAACACCCAGGCTTGGTCTGTATCTTGACCAGAACATTTTTTGAGAGTCCATTCTCTTTTCTTTTTTCTACATTGCTAAAACTTGTCCAGGCCCGCATCTCCCAAACCTGGATTACCAAAATTGCCTCCTCTCTGGCCTTCTATGATACACTGTCTGACTCAAACTCACCCATCTACGTTGCCTGACCCAAACAAAACACAGCTAATTGATCTTTCTTGATCTTCACTGACTACAATCACTTAATCTCCCTTTGAATCACTCCACTGGCTTCCCCTCTTCCATTATATCAAGTTCCAATGTTTTCTCCTCACCAGCAAGCCCTTCACAGCTCTGTCCCTCAGTACTTAACCACTGCTGTTTTCTTACTGCTTTACCCTGTAGCCCACTTACAATCCTAGATTCAACCACCCATGCTTCTCAAACAAGAATCTGCAAACTTTCTTCTACTCTTCTACATTTTTATGGCTGACTTAGAACAATGCTTCCTCAGCTCTCGTCCCCTAACGCCCCTACTCTACTTGCGCTATATTGATGACATCTTCATCTGGACCCATGGAAAAGAATTATTAATAGAACACTATCATTGTCAGGATTCCTTTTGTTCCCAATATAATTTAACAAACTCCTCTTTATTATCCTTAACTCTGCTGGCCATAGATTTCTCCTTGTGTCCCTTGGCTTCTCTTATCAATTTTCATACATACATCTCTCTCGAGACAGATAGACAGACACACAGCTCCCTTCACGTCCCCTCTAAACCAGGTTGGTTTTTTAACCAGCACAGCTTTCTTCCTCAGTTGTGGGATTGAGGCTTTTTGGGCATCTAGTAAGGTGTTCTTAGATGATGTCCAATAATCATTCAGATTTTTCTGATTAAATTCTTCCTCCCAGTTGATTTAGCTCATAACTGTTTTCAGCTTTGTGAAATTGTATATTACTGGTCTGGAATTTATTCTGCTTGCACATTATAAATGTGATCAGGATCACTTGTACCTAAATTACCATTAACTTCTAATTCTGTGATAAGTTCCTCTTTATCTATTAGGATAAGGTCTAATATAGTGTTCCCGTGTTGGCAGCAACACTTGTGGAGTTAGGAAATTGTCATCTATAATGTTTTGAAATTCCGAGGATGTTTTAGTACAGGCAGCATGAGACCTTCAGCATATGTCACTCAAATTGAAGTGAATGGAAAGCCCTCCCTAAACACACCCATAAGATTACTACCCTCTCCTTCATATTCCTTTTCAAAACCCATTTCTGCTATGTGGCCTACAAGTCACCCAACATTTAATGACTAGGCTAAAGGTCTACATTTATGCTATAAAAAAGTTCATGCAATAAAAAAGTTATAACATTTTAAATGCATATACACATTTGGAATATTTGATTATCTCCTTCTTCCCCAGCCTACATATATCACTAGTCTTCCTAGGCTGTGAGCTCCATGTCAGCCTTTGTATTTGTACAACATCTAGCACTGAGAAGCCCTAATCCTAACTGCGGCTTCTGGGTACTACAATAATCTGATCTGTAAATGAAATACAAAAAAATTCCTTACGTTAAAAGGGAAAGGATAAAGTTTCAGAGTCAAGCAATCAGAAGTTAAACACCAGAACCTTAATTTGGCCCCATAAAGAGGCACACACCTCTTGAGCACCTCATATTGTCTCAGTGGTATACCACAGTCCATTTCTCATCCTTGGAACCCCTTGTAGGCTGCCAGCTAAACTGAGCAGTTCTTCAGTGGCCAGGCCCTCTGGCAAGTCACAAAAGCCAAATGAACTCCTTCTGGAGTATTAAAGAGTTCAATAATTAAACAGTCTATTTGCCCTCACTGAGGTCTTCAGCCCCAGCTCTGAGCCCTTTAAAATCAGCCCTTTGTTCAGACTCTCAAATAAGGCTTGTCCCCTTCTTAAGGTTTACACCGGGGCCAGTAGGGGAACCTAGGCCTGTCTACTACTCCAGGTTCCAAACCAGGGACCAGCTGACACATACTACTTGATTCAATTTGTTGCTGCTTCTTCCCTGGGCCTCTTCCTACCTGGTCCTTTTAGCTTCACCCTTATCTCAGGATTAAGGTTCTTACATCCTCTCTCTCTCTTTGCAAACGCAGATCCTCAAAATGCAGTCAGAAAGCAAAACTCTGGCTTTCCCTCAAGTTCCTTGGGCCAGAGAAGAGCACCATTCCTTGCCCTTCTGGTGTCAGCCTGGAACAGAACTGCTAAGGCCCTGCAACTCCTTTTATCTGAACCTGCTGAGCGACTGGCTGTCGCTAGCCCTTCTAGCCCTTGAAGGACCAGTTCTCTCGAGCTTTCAAGACAGCTGCTCCAGTGAATTCTCTCTAAGCAGGCCTGGAGGACTCAACTTTGCTGCTTTTTTCCTTCAACCTCACTGCTTCCTGGGGGTGTAACAGAGCAATAGTGCCTCCAGTAGGGGCCACAAAGACCTGGTACACCCTGACACAGGCCCCCTAGTATAAGATTCTCTACCAGAGCTCTACCTCATTCTGTGCCCAGGAAGGACACAGGTCAGCAAATGAAGGAAAGTGTTTAATATTTCTTTTTAAATTCAATACTTTCTCTGCTGAATACAAAATTATTAATTTACTCACAGACCTTTCTCTGTTATCACCATATATCTGAATATGAGAAATATAGAGTTTTTTTTCACATCTTTGTGAGATAGGGAGGTATTATTAGCACCATGCAACAAAAAGGGAATTTAGGCAAAAAAGGATTAAGGCCAAATTTGCATGGACACTCAGTAAATGGATGCACAACTTGAAAATAATAATAGTACCTAGCTCTTATATAGTGCTTTTCATCCATGGGTCTCAAAGAGCTTTATAAAAGAAAGGAAGTATCATTATACCATTTTACAGACAGGGAAACTGAGTTGGAGAGGTGAACTGACTTGTCCAGCAGGCCAATGGCAGAGCTGGGAGTGGAATCCAGGTCTCCTAAATCCCAGTCCAGTATTCTATCCGCTAGGACACACTGCCATATTTGAGGCAATTTGGACCAATTTTTCAGAAGTGATGGGCATCCATGGCACCCAGTAACTTCAGCTGCATTTGTGAATGCTCAACAATTCTAAAAACAAGGCTGACAGTTTGAAGCTAGGCACCCAATCATTGATACATCTAAAATTAGTGGATACTTATGCAATTTTGGCCTTTAATCTTTCTATGAGTCATTTTCCAGATAATACTATAAACTAGTGGATTAGATTTAAATCTGGAAGTCAGGGGACTGGTTCCAACACCAACTTGCTATGAAACCTTGGATGACTCACTTGCTCTTATGGAGCATGCGTTTCACTATCTGTAAAACAGAGATAACAACAACAACAACAACTGCAAACATTCAGGTCTAAGTGACTTGCCTAGCATGTCACAGGAAGTCTGCAGCAGATCCAGGCATACTGACGTGCAATTAACTGCCTTAGATACAATATCATTCTTTCTTCTTACAGTCCCCTTCCTTATTCACTACACACCTTCCAACTTTGGCAGCAAATGAGGCAGGGGACCTACAGACAACAGCTACAGACTCATTCAATACACTACCCTGAATCATTCACTGAGCACTGTCCACTCTGAGCATGAAATGAAGAAGTGGACCTGTGAAAAAATTGTATGTGATCACCAAATCATAGGGTTAGAAGGGACTGCAAATGCATCTGGTCTAACCCCCTGCCAAGATGCAGGATCACATAATTAAAATCTTTATCATAATGCACATGCACATGGGAGAAGAAGTAACCTTGACTATAATATTTCCTAACTTTTGAGTGCCTGGCTTTTCAACCTTAAGATTCTTTTAAGATTGCATGTGAGGTATGGTGCCACACACTGAACGAAGATTCTCCAAGCACCATCCATGATGTGCACTGAATAAAGCAAGAGTCCTGTGAAAAAATAGTATGTGCTCATATAACTAAAGACTGTATCATTGTGCATATGCACAAGGGGGCAAATATAGGCTGGCAAAGACAACCTTAAATATAGCATTTCCTAATATTTCAGTGACTTTGCAACCTAAATAACTTTTAAATCATCGCTTTTGTATATATTTTTATATAAACACACAGGATTATTAAAATCCTTCCAAGTCTAAATAAAGCTCTAATACCTTTCCTAAA